AAAAAAAAAAAGTGGAGTTTGTTGCAATTATGTAAGAATTTGGATTAAACTGCAAAAGCAAAAACACTAGGCTTTAGTTTATAATTAACCCATAATTCTAGTGTTTATGTAAGTAAACTTCAAATTTTCAACAGCATATATAGCACTGATGTTTGATCTTGATATTTAATTGGAGCATAAAAAAAAAATATAATACAGTATTGATACATGGTCAATTGGTTATTTTAAGTGTTGATGATCTACTCTGTGATTCAATTTGAATTATTTAACTTGAAAATCGAGGTGGTTGATTTTCCTAACAAATCATAGGTTAGTGAAGTTACGGGATAATTTTAAAATTAGCCCTATAATTTGGCCACAGTTTAAAAAATCACCTCGATATAGAACACTTTCAAAATAGGTCCTACAATTTCAAAATTTAATCAAATTTGATTATTTTTTAATCACATTTTAATCCATGTTCCGGATAAAAAGAACCAAATTTGATTAAATTTTGAAATTATATGTCCAATTTTGAAAATTGTCAATATCGAGATGATTTTTTGAACTGTGGCCAAATTATAAGACCAATTTTAAAATTATGTCGTCAGTCAAGTTACTAATAAACGAATGGTTGATTTTAATCACTGGTTGATGAAGTTAACTTTGGCTAATAAAACTAAAAAGCAACATAGAAAAGGGAAGAAAGCTGGGGATGTGGGCCATAATTGGAAATTTGTCTAAACTATTGGACTTCATCAATCAATATATCCTAAACCCCTAAGGCTAAAAGATGAGTAGGCATTGTAATCCTCCTCAGTGTAGGATTGCTCTTGTATAACAAGAATCATCATTATTTGATGGAATAAATACACTTTTTGAATAAATACACTTTATCTACCTAAATATCCAGAAATTTAGGGGTGATTATTTATGGATTGAACTAGTTTTTATTTGGTTTGTTTTTTTATTTATAGTTAATTTTGAAACATTCGTTTCCAACCCTTAACTAGCGCAAATTTTACTCTAGATGAGTGAAACATTCGTCTCTAACCTTCTTCTCTACATTTTACTCTACATCAAATATATTATTTTCCTATCTATTTTTATTTCAAATAAATTGGTATATATATATGTGTGTGTGTATGTGTGTGTGTTGTAAAATTTATGATTTTAATGAAATCTTCTTGTTTTATTGTGTTAAATTTATAGTCATATGGTGCCATTTAATATGAAAAAAATTACAAAATAAAATATAATACATTAATAAATAAAAAACACAAAATTATTTAACATATAAATACATTGCACAAATCAGGCCCTCATATAAAACATGGTTAAAATCAGTGACGGGTTTAGAAATTTCACTTAGGGAGGGCCCGATTTTAAATGTTAAATAACGAGCTTATAGTTTACGTCAAAACACTTAATCCATATGAAAATGTATTTACTATAAATATAAATATTGATACGTGTATCATTAAGTTCTTAAGACTTTAGAATCTGTATCACCTCAAACTTTAAAAAAAAAAACAAAGAAAAAGAGATTTCATGTATTTATAGTTTAAATTCAACATCTATAATTTATGGAAAAATAAGTTTTTTTTTTTTATGTTGAAAAATTGATTTAAGTTGAACTTTTAAACAATATTGCGTGGCATTTTTGTTGATGACTTATCAAATGAAAATATTTTTAAGATAAATTAAACAAAGTTAAAAATATGCGATTACACATAAAGAATAAAAAATCAACATTAAAAATTATAATAATCCAACTAATAAATACTCGATTTTATAAATCACTAAATTGATTTACAATTAAGAGACCGAATCAATACAAATATTTTCAAAAGTTTATCTAGAAATTTAAATATAAGGATTGTTAGTGTATTTTTCAATAAATAAATAATATTATTAATTCAATAAAAATCAAATTGAAAATAAGTTTTAACTAGTAATATATTGTAAATATTTTTTTTCTCATTTCCACATATTTTAAGTATTTTCTTTATATATATTATTTTAATAAATTATAATTATAATATATTTTAAATATTTTTTAATATTATTTTCTATATATATATATTTACATATATATTGATTTTTCAAAAAAAAATTGAGAATATGTGGCTCCGTCACTGGTTACAATACTCTTAGTTTTGTAACTAAGAATCGTAAGTGATCGCTCGTCAATAATTATCATGTCACGTTAAATCTGATAATTGGAAGTAATTTTTCTTTTTTTTTTCGCGCTATTTGTAATAAAAATATCAATATAATAAATTAAATTTATTTATATGACAAGTTAATGGTATAGTATTATCTTTAATTTTCTAGGAAATTCCCATATGCATGATTAATTTTGAATTTCGACGTCAACCCACCAAAAAAATTCAAAGTCATATATAGGATCTTGCACACGTGTCAACTAAGGTGGCTAAAATTTTGTATTGAAGCTAACGTGGAATTAAACGTTCTGTCATGTTATTTATTCCAAAAAAAAAAACTACATAAAATAAAATTAATATATAAATTTATGATCAATTTAAAAATTAATAAATTTTAAAGTAAAATATTATGACATTTTTTTTTGTACAATAATAGTTTTCTCCCATGTAATTATAAAATTCATCAAACAAATTAATAACATTTAAAATTATGCATGTTTTAATTTTTTTTTCTTTTCTTATGTCTTTGTTTCTTTTAACTGTACCAATATTTGAACTTCAATTTATTCCCCAAATTATAAAATCTGATTCAGACGGCCATCAAACCAGGCTTGATGGCTTGTGTTTGTGTTTGATTAGAAGACACTGTCTGTGTGTAATTACTTAGCCCCAAAATAATAATAATAATAATAATAATAATAATAATAATAATAATAATAATAATAATAATAATAATAATAAATAAATTAGACCATATATTTCTCATTATAAGACAAATCTTAGACGAATCTTTTAAAATATGGAGAACTTGTTCCTATCTGAAATTCACCCACAAAACCTCATAGATATACGACAATGAAAAGATTCTGACATTTTAATAGTTAACACACTAATCATTTTCCCTCGTCAATTTTACTGTTAGAATATCACTTGTGAGTTGTTTCACATCGTTTATACATGAAAAATAGACACAGCTTATAAATTTAGTGAGTTACTCCTCTTTCTGTCTTGAAAAAAAAAAATACTCCTCCTTCTGTCAATTGATTTTGGGACGAAACCTCGTTTGGGCTTCATGTGAGCTTTCTCCACTTATTGTGCGCTTCATGTTAGTGTGACCGAACCCGTTTTAGTGGGACTGCACCCGTTTTTGTTTTCCACTCGTTTCTTACAACTTATTACATTTAAATAAAATAATTTTAATACTTTATTATATTTTACTTTATATGTTTTCACAATCTACAAAATCTTCACAAAAAAACTTTTAAACAATAAAAAAACTATTCCTTGGTTCTATCTTGACTTCGTCTTGTATGTTTTTTGAGTTTTGATTAATATTTTAGGGGCTATTAGTTATTATTAAATTAATTAGCATTTGTTATCATGTATTATTGTCCGTACATGAGATAATGCAATTATTAGGAGATCTTTAATTTCGGAATACTTTTTTTTTTCGCGTATTGTGTCGTGTAGCTAATTAGCTAGTTGAAGAAATTTTGGCCTACAATAATTTTATTGGGCCTTGTAATTAATCAACCCTACATACTTTTTTTTAAATATATATTAAAGGTAGCAAAATTAGAAATATATTACTACTAATAAAAAAAATAATGAAAATGGGTAAAATAATTAAGCCGTCGGCTAACGAGCCACAATCCAACGGCTAGCTTTTGGTGCATGGTTTTCGAAACCCAGTTGGTAGTCACTCAGCAGCTGAACCATCTAAAATCTATCTATAATGCTCCTTAAATTTGATTCTCCTCTATTTTTATATTATTATTATAATAATAAAATGTAAGAAAGTTGGACAATGTGTTGAAAAGTAGTCAGGCGCGTGTTGCCACTGTAACTCCTCCTCTGTTGAGAACCAGCCAAACTCAACTACACCAACACCATACCACACACACCTCTCTCTCTACACTTAACTCCATTCTTCTCTCACCTCTCTCTCCGGCTACCTATAAATTCCAAATACCCCAATTCCACCTGGAATTTCCCCCACAATCGTCACAACCAAAGCTCCGCCTTCCGCCGGCGGTGCCACCCTTCTTCTGACGATTCTCCGGCGGCGGTCCGCCATGGACCCGTCTCCCTCCGCCCCCCTTCCGCCTTAAATGCGACCAAAACATTTTCCAATTCTCTCAGTTGCTTCGACCGGTAGACGAAAGCTAGTACCTTTACGCTGATTAATTCGCGCATACGATTTTCCGGCGACAATGGCGGCAAAGAACGCCGGCGGATCCGGGACGGCGGCGGCGGAGTCCTCCTCCGTGTCCTCCGACGAGCTGGCCGCGAAGGCGGTCCACAAGCGGTTCGAGGGCCTGGTGATGGTGCGGACCAAGGCGGTCAAGGGCAAGGGCGCCTGGTACTGGGCCCACCTCGAGCCCACCCTCGTCCTCAATTCCGACACCGGCCTCCCCAGGGCCGTCAAGCTCCGGTGCTCCCTTTGCGACGCCGTCTTCTCCGCCTCCAACCCCTCCAGGACCGCCTCCGAACACCTCAAGCGGGGCACCTGTCCCAATTTCGCCGCCGTTCCCCAGCCCATCTCTTCCGTCCCCTCGCCCTCCGCCGTCTCCCTCTCAGCCGCTTCCAACCCGCCGCAGGCGACCAGCGTTTCCTCTCCCTCCTCCCACCAGCCGCCGCCGCACAACCACCGCAAGCGCAACAGCTCCGGCGACCGGCGCGGCGGAGGTGGCGCCACCCCTAACTCCGGCGGCTCCCCGGCGCCGTTCTCCCCTCACCACGCAGTCCCCCCGCCGGCCGTCGTCGACCCTTCAAGATTCACCGTCGATTTAGCCTACCCACCCGCCGTCTCCGTCGTCAACACCGGCGTCGCTGCCTCCGCCAGTGCCAGCCCCGCCGCTGCCGGAGGCGGCACCGGCCCATACTCCCAGTCCCAGCCCCACCTCCACCCCCATAACCAGCAGCTGGTTCTCTCCGGCGGGAAAGAGGACCTAGGTGCCCTGGCAATGCTGGAAGACAGCGTCAAGAGGCTTAAAAGCCCGAAAGCCTCTCCCGGGCCTACACTCAGCAAGGACCAAATCGACTCGGCACTCGACTCACTCGCCGATTGGGTCTTCGAGTCCTGCGGCTCCGTTTCCTTCTCGAGCCTCGAGCACCCCAAGTTCAAATCTTTCCTCAATCAAGTCGGACTACCCACAATTTCCAGACGAGAGCTCCTCGGCTCGAGATTGGACACTAAATACGAGGAGGCCAAAGCCGAGTCAGAAGCCAAAATTCGAGACGCCATGTTCTTTCAGTTGGCGGCCGACTGGAAACCCAAGGACGGCGACCACACCGGAGAGGACAACAGCCTCGTGCATTTGGCCGTGAATCTCCCAAACGGGACCAACGTCTTCCGGAAGGCAGTTTTCACGAGCGGTTATGTCCCGTCCAAATACGCAGAGGATATCTTGTGGAACACCTTAACCGAGATTTGTGGCAATACACTGCACCAGTGTGTGGGGATCGTCTCGGACAAGTTTAAGGCCAAGGCACTGAGGAATTTAGAGAGTCAACATCATTGGATGGTCAACATCTGCTGTCAGCTCCAAGGCCTCACCAGCTTGATCAAGGATTTCTGCAAGGACCTTCCTTTATTCAAGAACGTGACTGAAAATTGCTTCAAGGTGGCAAATTTCATCAACAACAAGTCCCCAATTCGGCACAGCTTTCACAAATACCAGCTGCAAGAGTACGGGCACGCGGGCTTACTGAGAATTCCACTGCGGGGTTATGAGGGAAAATCGGATTTCCGGCCAATCTACTCAATGGTGGAAGACATACTGAGCTCAGCACGTGCCCTTCAGCTCGTGCTTTTAGACGAGCCTTACAAGATGGCTTCTATGGATGAACCGGCCGCACGAGAAATCGAGGAGATGATGAGGAACCCCCATTTTTGGAACGAATTAGAAGGCGTTCACTCTCTGGTCAAGCTCGTCAAAACAATGGTTCAAGAAATCGAGACCGAGAAGCCTCGTGTGGGCCAGTGCCTTCCCCTGTGGGAGGAGCTCCGGGTGAAAGTCAAGGACTGGTGTTGCAAATTCCACATTTCTGAGGCGCCCGTGGAGAAAATAATCGACCAGAGGTTCCGGAAGAATTACCACCCGGCATGGGCAGCAGCTTTTGTGCTCGACCCGCTTTATCTAATAAGGGATGCAAGCGGGAAATACCTTCCGCCTTTCAAATGCTTGACGCCAGAACAAGAGAAGGACGTGGACAAGCTCATAACCCGGCTCGTCTCGAGGGAGGAAGCTCACATTGCGTTGATGGAGCTTATGAAGTGGAGAACGGAAGGCCTCGACCCGGTTTACGCGCAGGCCGTGCAGTTGAAGCAGAGGGACCCACATACGGGGAAGATGAAGATTGTTAATCCGCAGAGCAGTAGGCTCGTGTGGGAGACTTATCTGACCGAGTTTAAAATACTTGGGAAAGTGGCGGTTAGGCTGATTTTTCTCCGGGCGAGCTCGTGCGGGTTCAAGTGCGGGTGGTCTATGATGAAATGGGTGAGTGCTGCTCATTCGCATTCGAGGGTGGGGATGGAGAGGGCACAGAAGCTGATATTTGTTTCGGCACATTCGAAGGTGGAAAAAAGGGAGTATTTTAGGGATGAAGAAAGGGATGCGGAGCTTTTCGGATTGGAGAATGGTGAGGATGATGTGCTGAATGAGGTGTTTGTTGATACATCCTCTGTGTAAGGCTCAGGCTCCCTTTTATTATTATTATTATTAATTTCTTCTATTAATTTTTGTCACTGATTGTAGGTTAATTTGTTGTTATGCTGTTATTTTAGTTCGAGAGGACCGTAGTAGTATTTGTTTGATCGTGGAAGGTTTTCAGGGGCAGAACAATCTTTCAGATATATATATGTTGAGTTTGATGGCTATATTGCAGTTTGATGTACATGGCCGTTTGATTAGTGATGAGTTTTTGCCTTTTTTTTTTTTTTTGTGCTTTTTCATTCACTGTTCAGCTAGTTTTTATCCGTTGTTTGGTGGTTTGACTGGCTTTCTTGGTCAAGCTCTCTTGATCTGTAATATCCTGAGACAGTGATCAAGTTCCAAAGGTTAATCGATGCACGTTTTTGGTGAAAATGCATTTGCAGAACAGAACTTCGATGCATTTGCAAGAACGAGCGATTTACTATATATGACACACAAGCAGCTACTAATTCATTGTCGACGCAAATGATCGAGCTGAATAATTTCGTAATTTGGATTATATGAGTTCTTGAAGTGATATAAAAAGAGCTGCTTGATGTTAATTTCTCTACGGCTCGTGAGTTTTCACTTGATTAGCTTTCAGCTGGTAGAAAATTTGTTGTCTTGCTAGCAGCGAACATATTAACATTGTCCTATGAGATGCTGTATTTAGGAAGCACTCGAAGTCAATGAAAGTGCCATTTTTGTTCTGCTTTTAATGTGTGTTCAAAGGTCATCTTAATTGGGGATAACTTCTTCAAACTGACTGGGATTTTGATATCTACATTTCATTTATAATCTACTACAGAAATGGAAAAATAATCCCCTATTTGAACTCTCTTCTTATTGCAGGAGCATCTGATGATGCAGACATCATTCGACCGGGTAATAAAACCACCGTGAGCAAAATCCTTACGTGTAAGTAATATTGTGACGAACACCTATAAATACGAAAAAAAAAAAAAAAAAA